AATGTAAACTCTATTTAATACATAAGATAACATTTTATATATATATATATATATAGATTAGAAGTTACAACCGGATGAAAAATTAAGTCATTGTCGCCTTTTGAAACCGTGTATGAACATCCAACTTACCTTATGAAAGCATCTCAAAATTGCCGCAGATAAATTGGTATGCAATGACTACTGTTATGAAGGAGTATTTCTTATACTCCTATAATATGATTTCACTTTGCTGATCAAACAAAAAAAAAAAAACTGGTATGCAATGACGCAGAAGAAGCACCAGCACAATGATCATGGACGACGACCAAGACTAATGGTACCTTTGGATAGAAAAAATCTACAAGACGAGCCCACGGCTATCGTTAAAGGTGTCTTGAGGGCTAATTGCCACACACATTGCTGTACAATGACCTAGAAGAAGCATGGGGCGCGCCTTTTGATGGAGAAATTCTACAAGAGGAGCCCACTGCTTCTGTTAAAGATGTCTAAGCGACGACAAGCAAGATTTATTGGAACCCTTTGATAGAAAAATTCCACAAGAGGAGCCCACTGCAATTGTTAAAGGTGTCAGTGCCATCCATAAAAAAATAAAGTGTCGGTGCTAATTAACGTATAAAATTAAAAAGGTATTGTAGGATATATAGGTTAACTATTGTACCATAATTAGGTAAAAAATAAAAAAGGGGGCAAATTTAAAAGCTAATGAAAGTATAAAATAAAAAATATATGTTAAATATTTGATAAAAAAAGTAAATTTCAAGTTAATTGTCAATTATATCATAATTTATCACATAAACTCATATTCTTTTCTTTTACTACTTCAAAGTATATATAATTTTAATGTTTTAACATCTTTCTTAACAATAAACCTTTAATTTATTTTGAGACGTTCTCTTCTATAATTATTAATTATTGTAATTATTAATTATTTCTACTTTTAATTTTCTTAATTATAATTATTAATTGATTATATTATTTGATTTCTAATTTATTGGAGAGAGAAACTTTAATTTTTTAATTAGTTCTTGCCAAGAGTGAAAAAGGATCATTGTGTTAGTCATCTTTTTGTCTTGTTTTATACGGATTTCGTGGTTATTTGTTAACTTTGTTGTTAACAAATTGTTTAGCCTTCAATTTAAGTTTTATGTTTATTACTCTTATGTTAGCCCCTGCAATGCAAATCTAGATTATCGTGTACTTGATGTTTTTGTTTTATTTTCTTTCGGTTTACAATTTAATTTTTTTTGCATAAATTACTCAATTCCTAAATGGGCTTTAGCCTTAATGATTTGTTTTTAATCAACTTATGAAGTACTTCTTTTTCTGTTTATGATTTTTTTTTATATATTTTGAATTTTAGGATTTTGGTATTTTTAATCCGTGTTCATGTTTTATTATTATTATATTTTTATATTTTTATTATTTTTAGAATATTTTTTATTTGTAATTTATAGATTGTCTTAATAATAAGAAATTATAAATGTTAAATAG